GGGGTCCAGGGTAAGGTCGAAATTGCTGTCGTTGTAGTGCGTCCTTCATGCTCAAAGAGACCAAATTGGATTTAAGTGAGGCAGAGGCCTCACTCTCTCGTCAGAGTCATCGGAGCCCAGTGACAAGAAATTGCAGTCGTGAGGTGCTGGCTGGATGAGGGCACCTTCACAGTAGTGAGGGAGTTTGGAAGGAGGAGAGAGGGTTTAGGATGAGAAGTGATTGATAGGTAGTTGGTGATGAAGGCTCAGCCTCCTACGACCAGGTCTTCATGTATGAGTGCACATGTACACACACCTCCATATACATGGGAATCATCTTTATGGAGATGATGATTGAACCAGGACAGAGCCCAGGACATGGGCAAAGAGCCAGCGAAGGGGTCTGAGGAGGAGTGGCTTGACTCCCCGTCCAGCCACACTGGCCTTCTCGTTGCATCTCCCGTCTTTATGCTTTTACGCTGGCCCTCTCTCATGTCTGGAGCAGACTTAGCCTTCACCTTGGCTTCATAAAAACCCTCCTTTCAAAATGCAGCTTGAGTAGCATCTTATGCACAAAACCTTTCTTGAGTTTTCCCTCCCCGCACCAGCTTATATTCTCCCCCCTCCCCCAAATACCTTGTATTTAATTACCCTGTATATTTATTTTCTTCATACCTATTCGTGTACTTATTATCTCTTTTGATAGGATGTAAGCTCCATGAGAGTGGGGATCTTTTCATTTTTTTGTATCTGTATTCCCAGGGTCAAGCTGAGTGCCTGGCACATGGTGGGTAATAAATGCTTATTGATTGATAACCAAAATTAGTGTTATTTGCAATGGAGAAGTATTAGAAACCTCCCCAAAACCCCCAACTAATTTGACTTAGTTCTAGAAATGCTAGACAAGGGAAATGAAGACACAGGCATTGGTAGAGGAGACAAAAGTATTCCTATTTGCAGATGGCATGATAATTTTCTTTTTTTTTTTGTGAATTTTACTGATGCCTTTTGTTTTTATTTTTATTTTATTTTTATTAATTTATTTTGATTTATCAATAATCACTTCCATATGCTTTTGAGTTTAAAATTTTTCTCCCCCCTTCCTCCCCACCACCCTCCCCAAGACGGCGCATAATCTGATATAGTCTATACAGTTACATTCATATTAAACATATTTTCACATTAGAAATTAAAACCAATAGGAAGAACCATCAGAAAAAGGAAACAAAACTCAACAGAAGATAAAAAAAATAGCAATTCAACTTCCATAGTTCTTTCTTTGGATGTGGACAGCATTTTCCATCACAAGGCCTCTGGAGATGTCTTAGATCCTTGTATTGCCAGGAGGGGTTAAGTTTATCAATATTAGTCATTGCACAATGTGGCTGTTATTGTGTACAATGTTCTCCTGGTTCTGCTCACTTCATTCAGCATCAGACCATACAAGTCTTTCCAGGTTTTTCTGAAGTCAGCCTGTTCATCATTTCTAATAGCACAGTAGTATTCCATTACATTCATAGAGCACTTGCTTAGCCATTCCCCCGTTGATGGGCATCCTCTCAATTTCCAATTCTTTGCCACCACAAAAATAGCTGCTATGAATATTTTTGTACATGTAGGTCCTTTTCCCGTTTGTGTGATCTCTTTGGGATATAGCCCTAGAAGTGCTATTGCTGGGTCAAAGGGTATGTACATTTTTATAGCCCTTTGGGCATAGTTCCAAATTGCTCTCCAAAATTGTTGGATCATTTCACAACTCCACCAGCAGTGCATTAGTGTTCCAATTTTCCCACATCTTCTCCAACATTTATCATTTTCCTGTTTTGTCATGTTGGCCATTCTGATAGATGTGATGTGGTACCTCAGAATTGTTTTGATTCGCATTTCTCTAATCAGTAGTGATTTAGAGCATTTTTTCATGTGACTATAGATGGCTTTAATTTCTTCATCTGAGAACTGTCTGTTCATATCCTTTGACCATTTATCAATTGGGGAATGGCTTGTATTCTTATAAATTTGACTTAATTCTCTATATATTTTAGAAATGAGGTCCTTATCAGAGAGACTGGTTGTAAAAATTCTTACCCAGTTTTCTACCTTCCTTCTAATCTTAGTTGCCTTGGCTTTGTGCAAAAACTTTTCAATTTAATGTAGTCAAAATTATCTGTTTTGCTTTTCGTAATGTTCTCTATCTCCTGTTTGGTCATGAATTCTTCTGTTCTCCATAGATCTGACAGGTAAACTATTCCTTGCTCTCCCAGTTTGCTTGTAGTAGCATGATAATTTTCTTAGGAAACCACGGAGAATTATAACCCAAATCTAGGAGCTACACAATGGATAGCCTCTGTTTTCTCAGTAAAGTGGGAGGCAAGATAGACTTCTCTGAAGATGATTATGTACTCCATGCAGCCTCTGAGGCTGAGATGCATCAGAGTATGGATTGATTCTCTGCTGTTTGCACCAATTTTGGCCTGCCAATCAACACCAAAAACAAAAAACCCCAAAACAAAAACACCAGGTTCTTCACCAGCTAGCACCACACCATCCATACATTGAACTGTTGGTCACAGTAAATGGAAATATTTTGAAGGCTGTGGATAAGTTCACTTACCTTGGCAGTACACTTTCCAGTGGTGGAAAGTGGATAATGAGGTTGATGCACTCATTGCCAGAGTTAGCTCAGTGTTTGGGAGTCTCTGAAGGAAAATGTGGGAGCAAAAAGTTAACAGGCTGCCTGCTAAACTGAAGGTCTGCAGAGCCATTGTGCTGACCTCATATGCCTGTGAAATCTGGACAGTCTATCAGCACCATGCCAGACAATTGAGGCGCTTCTGCTTGAATTGTCTTAGGAGGATTCTGAAGATCAACTGACAGTTAAAATTCTAGATGCTGAAGTCCTTTCTAGAGCTGAACTGCCAAGCATTCAAAGTCTACTGCAGAGTGCACAACTCAGGTGAGCTGGCCACATCGTTTGAATGCCAAAGGTACATTTGCCTAAAAGACTGTCTTACGGAGAATTCACACAAGGCCAGGCACTCACGTGGAGGTCAGAAGAAGCAGTACAAGGACACTCTCAAGGTCTCTGTGAAGACCTTTGGTATCGATGGCGAGACATGGGAGATACAGGCACGGACCACCAGCACATTTCCTATGAGCAAAGCAGAACCCCAGCGGCACAAAGGAAACGAGGCGATGTGCACGGCTACAGACGTCTCTGTTCCAGATGTTCAGATGAGCTGTTTGTGCCCAGCCTGTGGCAGAGTCACACTGGACTGATCAGCCACAGTTGAACCTGCTGTACCTTGATCCAGCATAGCGATGTCATCAGTCTTCATTGAGTACAGAGGACGAGCAGCAGCTCCAAGGCAAGACCCTCCGAGTTGGAGGGTGGCTTGGGCTGGTCCCAGGGGATGGGACCGGAAATGTAGAGAGGGGGGTCATCGTTCCCCTGGCGACCGTTAAAGGACACATTCCCCAAGGAAAAGACTGTAGAGAGAGCGAAAGAGGAGTGAGCACGAGAGAGGGTATGCCAGGAACCGTCCAGAACTAGAGAGGAGGATCAGGAACAGGATAGGGCAGGCCACAAAGGCTGAAGGGCGCTCTCCTAGAGGAGATGGAGGAGAGGGACAGAGAAAAGACTTGAGAACTGTTTTTAACATTCATTATCACCTGCATTCTGCCTGATTCAGAAGTATGTTCATTCTTCTTTGCTTCTTCTGCATAGACATCAGTGAATCTTAAAAGGATCTTAAAGATTTCTTAGTTGTCATTTGCTTTAGCTTAAGGGAAGAAAGTGAATTTAGTAAAGTTGGCGCCTTGAAAATTACCTGTGGTGAATGCACAGAACATCTGGGCACACCCTGTATTTTGGGCTGTCAGCTAACTGATAAGTTCCTCTTATTCTTAGCTAGCAGTTTGTGGACTAGTAATTTAATTACCAGAGCAACTAGGTGGCATAGTGGATATGGTGCCAGGCCTGGAGTTAGAAAGACTCATCTTTGGGAGTTCAGTTCTGGCCTTAGACCATTACTAGCTGTGTGACCGTAGTCAAGTCAAGTAACCCTGTTAGCCTCAGTTTCTTCATCTGTAAAATGAGCTGGAGAAGGAAATAGTAAACCATTCCAGCACCTTTGCCAAGAAAACCCCAAAAGGGGTCACAGAAAGTTGGACATGACTGAAAAATGACTGAACTTAATTATCCTTGGGAATTTTCTTCAGCATGAATGTAAACAGCACAAAAATTCAACCTGCTGGCCTTTGGGGATATGCTTACATGGGCTATGGGACAGAGGAATGCAAGTGTGCATATTGTTTAAGTCCATGTTCAAACTTATTGACCTATGGACAGGGAAAATGAGGGTGGCCTACTACATTTGTAATTAGGTAAAAGTATTATTACAATTGATATTCTTAGTACATGGGAATCAGAGATAGGAACAGGATTGATATTGGTCCTGGGACCCTTTAAAGAGCTTTTGTTTGTGTGGGTTATAGCTATCAATATTTATCACATTAAATTAAAACATCATAGTATTACTGTGAAAATAATTTTGACCTTGAAGATACTCTGAAAGAGTCTACTCGGGTCCCTAGACTGCACTTTGAGACCTACTGGATAGAGATCTCCCAGGTGAAGAAACTCCCTCTGTCAGTGCTGATTGGCCCCTTCTCTGCATCTTGAAGTTTGAAAGTTGCCTGTAGTTCAGAGAGGTTAAGTCAGTTGCCTAGGGTCACACAGCCAGAATAGGTCAGATATATTCAGCTTGAACCAAGTCTTCCTGACTCAGTGGCCAGCTCTGTGTTGCCTTTTGTTCTTAAAATGTATGACAACTTTAAAAATCAATTAAAAATCATTAAAATATTATTCCTAATTTAAATGTAATTTTATGTAAGAAAGGGTTGTGTACTCATTTTTTTAATTAGCAAAATGGCTGTACTCTCTCAGGAGAATTGTTGAGTTTCTAGATGTCCATGTCAAGGGTTTTCTGATGAACTTTTATTTTTCTTTTTTAAAATTACAGCTGCAATACCAGTACATTCCCCCCAAAAGAGCCCTAGAAATCATGCCTTACTGGAGGCTGCCGGACCAAGCCATGTGGCAATCAATGCCATTTCTGCCAACATGGACTCTTTTTCCAGTAGCAGGACAGCTGCTCTTAAGAAACAGCCCAGTCACATGGAAGCTGCTCATTTTGGTGACCTCGGTAAGTGAATTCCATTGTGGATGCTGGATTTTCTAAGAAGACTATGATACTTTAGGGCATTCAGAAAAATAATTGGAAATCTATTTGTGCCAGAGTAGCACCTATAAATGTGATGGGTAAAACATTGTGCTGATTGTGCATCAGAGATGTCAGCTGAGTTAAGTAAAAAATGCAGCTTTTCTAGTCTTTCAGGTACCCTAATGAGCAGGCAAATGTTTGTGACCATCTGTTTCAAATAAAAAGATGAGTCATAGACTCACCCATATTTCTTCGCTGCAGCCATAGTCAGGTGAGGCCTAGCAGATAGAATTCTCTAGCAGCTCAGTTTGTTAGGATGTGACATCTAGTTTTTGAGAAGAGTATTAGGAAGAACATGAGATTGAGTGATCTAATATGAGAAGAATTGACACTTTCTGAAATGTCTGCTGCTGGCACCTTTAGGAGACAAGAAATGTCCCTAATGCTAATGGAGGGTGGAATTGTGTCTTTTAAAAATGTTTTATTGAAGTCTTTTGTATTTAAATCATAGTTGTTTCCCCCCACCCCCACTCCTGTCACAGTTAAGCCAAAACATCCAACCCACAGGTGTGCTCTGGTGTGTCCTAGTAGGCCTGCACTTATCTGTGGGGGGGGGGGGGGAAGAGGAGGAGGAGGGGATCTGTTTTGTTCTTTCTTCTTCAGGACCTTGGCTGACTAGTTGGTCCATCACTCTGAGGTCACCTTGTAGAATGCTTTCGTGAACCCTCACTTCTGTGTAGCTCCATCGGGCACTTCTGAAGTGCACCTCTCGTCACCTTTTTACGTTCTGTCTTCATTTGTTTATATGGGGAACTGGAGAGCTCTTCAGTTACTCCATATCCTCTCCTCACACTTTGTTGACAGTACTGATAAGCCTAAGGAGTAGTGATGGCCGTGAAGGAGGGAAGGAAGAAGAAAATTTTAAGGGGAAAGCTACCTCTGATCCCTAGGGACATGGAAAGGCCAATCACTGTCAATGTTTGAGAATTGACTGTATTGGAAATTTAGACAAAGTCTGTTGGGCTAACCTTGAGGCTTTTTCTCTTGATTCTGTATCATGTGAGCTCCCTTTCCAGTAAAAGAATAGTGAGAATTAGCCAGCTAACAAGGAGCCACTCAGATAAAAGAAAGTATGGACTGTACACATGGTACATTTGTTCTTTTCTTTCCCCTCTGGTGACTAAAAAACTGTTTTCTGTGATGTTCCCATCTTCTTTATCGTACAGCAAATTAACCTATGTATTTTTCCTAGCTGTTTGAGTTGAGTGCAAGTTTTATTGCAGGTAGTGGGTGCTCCTGTTGTTAAAAAGAGCCTGGTCTGTGAATCTTCAGTTACCCAGTTTTTTCTAATTCCTTTGCTACTCTTTGTCTTGTAGGCAGATCTTGTTTGGACTATCAGACTCAAGAGACCAAATCCAGTCTTTCGAAGACCCTTGAACAAGTCCTGCAGGACAGTGTCGCCCTTCCTTATTTTATTCAGTTTATGGAACTTCGGAGAATGGAACATTTGGTTAAATTCTGGTTAGAGGCTGAAAGTTTTCGTTCCACAACCTGGTCCCGAATAAGAGCGCACAGTCTGAATACAGTTAAACAGAGCTCATTGGCCGAGCCTCTCTCTCCTTCATCTAAAAGGCAGGAAACCACCGTCTGTTTTCCATCTGAGTTTCTTGACCAGAGGTTGGAGAGTTCTAGCACAGTCCATTTGTTCATGACCAAGTCAGAAGGAACAGAGATGAATAATAGAACTAGCAATGCTCAGAATCACTCGCTGCCTTCCCAGGATAGAGATGATGTCCATTCTCTCCATCTTGAAATATCCAAGGAAGGGACTCCAGTTTCTATGGAACATCAAGACTCTTCCAGACTTACAGTGTCAAATAGAAATAGTCCTTCTTCCACACTAAAGGAATTATCAGGAAAACTAATGAGAAGTAAGTAGGTGATGTGTTGGTATTCTCTTATTGGCTTTATTTTTAACCCAAGTCAGAATTCAGGCTAGAGGAAGAGGAGAACTGGAGTGGTTCTCTTCCTCATCCCAGAATCTGCCTGTTCCTGCTTCCATCCTTTTTGAAGGGTATGGGGAGAAACAAGAATGTCTTCAGAGTGATAAGCAGAGCAACAGAATGGAAGCCCACACATAAAGAAATGTAACTTTTCTTGACGTCAATAATTGGAAAATAATAGTTGAATAAATTTATGTATAGCTTTACTGTAAAGCACGTTATCTACATGATCTTATTTAATCTTCACAACAACTTTGTGAGGGGGGCAATGCAGGGGATTCTCCCTATTTTGTGGAGGAGAAAACTGAGGCTCAAAGAAGTTATGGCTTGACTAGGGAAACAGAGCTAGTTAAGTGGCAGCTCTGGGACTCGAGCCTGGGACCTCTGGCTTCACCTCCACTGCTCTTTCCACGGCACCTCATCTGCCTCCTCTTTTCCAGCAATTATCTTACCCCTTTTCAGGACTGAGGGTGGGGTAAGGTAAGCAAATGTGTCTCTTTTATTGTCTTCACTGCACTTGGTGGATCTGTAAGAAGTCTTACGTACTTGGGTGGTTTAGTTTTATGGAATGGTTAAAAGCAGCACCACTTAAGATTTTATATCATAAAAAGACATAAGATTTTTTTGGTTGGAGTCTGTCTTTTTCTTCAAAAAGAAATATAAATAAATGAATGAATGGATGGATTAGATTAAGAACATTGTCTGATAGTGAGAATGTAGCCCTGGGAGTCATAGGATCATCGATTTAGAGTGGTAACAGAAGTCACTGAGTCTACAGATCAGAAAACGGAGGTAGTCAGAGAGAAATTAAGTGACTTGGCCAGAGTCACACGGTAGGTATCTGAGGTAAGATTTGAACCCAGACCTTCCTTAAGGCAGGTTGCTTTTGACTGTCCTAGTTGTGTGCTCTTTGGCAGTCATTCAGTTTCTGTTCCTTGGTAAAATGAAAGTGTGAAACTAAATGATTCCTAGGATCTTTTCCGTATCTAAAATTCTTTGATTCTGAGAACATTGGGGAGACTTTATTTTAATACTTGTTTGCTTGTGGCAGTTACTCTGATAGACTTTTCCTTGGTAAGCCTGAAACATTAAGTAGCACAGAAATGTTCACTGATGCTCCCCTAATGTATGTTCTGTAAAATCTGTTGGCCTGCCCCATAAAATCCTTTCGTATCGGCTACGAATATCTCGCTGGAACACAAATGAAAACGCTTTTTCCCTCATACTTCCCATCTGACCTTCTCCCCAACATCAGGTTCTGTTGTGGAGGAAGAATGCAGAGACTCTTTGGGCCAACTAGAGGACAATTTTCCTAGTTCCATTTGTTTCGATGCCCCTCTTGGGGCCCCAGTTCTCGTCTTGTGTCTCAGTAATTCTTGTCATCACCTGAGGGAAGCTGTCAGAGGGAATTTTGGCGGGGTCAGGAGGGTCTGTTTAGTGGCTTCAACTAAAAATGATTATTGGGAAAGGAGAGTTCCAGAAGAAGGCTGACAGTGAGAGCTCATAGTGGTACAATGCCTTTTCCAAAACTTCCTTCAAAAAAGAATCGTAACTCCCAGTGTATTAGTGGCCAACTCGAACCTTCACTTTTTTATTTTCGGCTGGAATCTCATTTTGTGGAAATAGAGACAAAGAATTGCCAAAAGTTAATATCCTTTGAATGATAATTTGGATGTAACTCAGAGCAGATAGCTTCTGAGGCAGAAGAGTGTAGTGTAGTTATAAAAAGCCATGAGTCAGGAGAGACCTGGGGAAAAGCATGGAACTTCTGAGCCTCAGTTTCTTCATTTATAAGATGGATCTAATAATATTGATAGGAGCTACCTTGCAGGGTTGTGAAGTTGCCCTGCAATATTGTTTATTATATTTATTTATAAACCTTAAGGCACTCTATTGGAGCAGCTAAGTGACACAGTGGTTAGAGCACTAGGCTTGGAGTTAGGAAGACCTGAGTTCAAATCCAGCCTCAGATACTCACTAGCCTGCGTGACCCTGGGCAAATCATTTAACCCTGTTTGTCTTAGTTCCTCATCTGTAAAATGACCTGGAGAAAGAAATGGTAAACCACTCCAGTATGTTTGCCAAGAAAACCCAAAATGGGATCACAAAGAGTAGGACATGAATGAAACAACTGAATGCCAAAAGGCACTATAAAATTGTCAGCTAGCTATCATCATCATCATCATTTATCTCTGCTCAGCTGTATGTAGGAATAGAAATGATTTTATTTCTTCCTGGTAAAGAGGAAAGCAGAAGGTACTCTCAGCCCTCCTTTTTTTTTTTTTTTTTTTGGTGAGGCAAGTGACTTGCCCAGAGTCACACAGCTAGTAAGTGTTATGTGTCTGAGGCCAGATTTGAACTCAGGTCCTCCTTCCCCATCAGCCCTCCTTTTCACTGAGGAAGAAGATAATCAAGGGCTAATAGAAATAAGAACTGGTATATATACTCACTCTCCCTGCCAGGAAGGTATCAGTGTATTAGAATAGTTAGAAATGACTGAAATAAATAAAAACAGCTCCCATTTATATAGTTTCTAGCCAACTTTCCTCACAGCAACCCTGTGAATCAGGCAGTGCGAATATAATTTTCCCCATTTTACAGATAAGAAAACAGAAGCTCAAGTGATTTGCTCAGTGTTACCTATCTAGTAAGTCTTAGAACAGCTCTTGAAAATCCAGTTTTTGGGAGCAGCTAGGTGGCACAGTGGATAGAGCACCAGCCTTGGAGTCAAGAGGACCTGAGTTCAAATTTGGCTTCAAACACATAACACTTAATAGCTGTGTGACCCTGGGCAAGTCACTTAACCCCTTTGCCTAGCAAAAAAAAAAAACAAAACCAAAAACAAATTAAAAAATCCAGGTTTTTTTGACTAGTGTATTGCCTGCCCACCACTCCTCTTAGAGAAGCTGAACCTGGCTTTCTCTGACCATATTTCTGTCTCTCCTGAACACCCCCCCAACACACACACACACACACACACACACACACACACACACAAAACGTACGTACATACCCGTCTACGTGCTTCTTGGTTTGCACCTTTAAATAACCCCTCATAGGTATGTTAATACACCGGAAATTTGCTTAGTGGGGAAGCCATGTCTATATTTGAGGACCTTTTCCTCAGCTATAGGTGCTAAAAATAAAGATGTTATAAACTTGGAATAAGAGAAGATGTAAGCTATAACGTGTCAGAGATGTGGACTGTACCTGTGAGTTCACTTATGTGGAAAACTCCCAGGTGAGGAAATATTTTCCACTGGACAGACAGGTCAGCGCCTTCTTAACAACTTGGGAGATTTTTGTCTTAGAGAGTTGCCTGGGACAGTGATGCCACACTCAGATAGGAAGGGACCCTGGAGGCTGCCTATTGACCATAAAGGAACATTATCTATGCTCCTTTTTTTTTTTTAAACATTTCCTGGTTATATTTTAATCTGGATCTGCCTGACAAGCTTGCAGCTTGAGGGCAGCGAGTTTGACATCTCTGGCCTAGGGCACTGACATGAAGGTAAAATGACTTGCCCAGAGTCACACAGCCAGTATGTCTAAGAAGTGGGACTTGAACCACTGCACTGCCTCTATTAAACATGATACTCAAAGTGTAGCCTTTCCATTTTGTTTTCACTTTTGATATTCTAATTGGGATTGAATGCTTAGAGCCTTTCTGAAACAATCTAAAGTATGTTCATTTCTAATGAAATGTCATAGCCTGGGTACATGAGACAGCTACATTTTTTAAGGAGTTTTAAATCAGGTGTACGTGTTGGAATATATAAAGTATGATGAAAACTTTGGAAAACCAAGTAAGGCTTCAGGTTAATATGCTTGTTTTTTGTGTTCTAATGGAAATAAGTTTATTTTGAACTAAACACTAAATGAAACCTTTTTAGAACAGTTTCATGTGATCATACAGGTTTTTTTTTTTTGTACGTAAAGAGGAAGGAAGAGGAGTGAAGAGTTATAATGCAGGAACCCAAACCACTTGATCTTAACACACTCAGATGCTTGCAGTGAACTTCCCTTTCTAGCAGCTTCCCAAAGGGCAGCTTTTTAGTTAAAGTAAAAAAATGATGTTGAAGCATTTTCTTTCATGTTCCTTTTTTTTTTTAAGAAGTTGCACCAAAATGTTTTTTGACTTGTGTTTTTTGTTTGTAATAATGAAAAAGCATCCACTTCACTTTATTTAATTCTGAAGTCACCAAATAGAATAGTAGAGCCCATCTCTACTCAGCCCTTGGCCGCCTCCGCCCCCAAAGAGGCAGGGGCTCTGTCTGCTGTTAACCTCCTGTGTTGTTATGATGAGCCCCATCAGTTCCTGTTATTATGTTGAATAGACTTTTCTCTATTGTCAGCATTTGGTTGGCATTCCCTTTGAAGTCCTGTGTCAGAAGCTACTCAGAACAACATTTTCCACAGAACTCTTCTTTGGGAGGTCATTGGTTAGTGTGCTTACACTTTGCCCACAAAGCTTTGTCCCAGAGGAGGTAGCCAGGAAATGTTTGTGTGAGTGAGAATTGTCTCCTTGGCTTTTGCTCCTGGGGACAAGTTCTTGGTTGCTCTGAGAGGGTGGTCAGCAGAATCCTCTTCTGGCTGCAGCTCTCCCCAGCACTGGTGGCAGACAGCGCATTCTCCAGAGCTCACTTAGCAGGTGAATGCCCAAATCCATAGGAGGCAGTCTCAGATGACAGGAGGCAGAGCCCTGCTGCCTGCTCCGCCTGGGCAGAGTGAGCCCGGGCACTATGCGTGTCACACTGTTCTAGGCCCTAAGTGGCGGCACTGATGAGTGTGAAGGGATGGGTGGAAAATATTGTGGACAAGACTTCAATGAATCAGAAAGACAGACCATCCATCACCTAGGATCTGGAAAGAGTGATGCTCTAGCACCCTCCAGAAAGAGCAGTGCAAGAGTAAGGAAGGGATTGTGCAGAAGGTCAGGAGTCATTAAAGTTCAGTCAGTGCAGGACTTTCTAAAGCCACCATCTTGTTTTTCTCCTCAGGTATAGAACACGATGCAGTGAGTACTTTTACCAAATATATATCCCCAGATGCTGCTAAACCAATACCTGTAACAGAGGCAATGAGAAATGACATCGTAGGTAAGCTTGTTTCAGTGTTCTCATCAAAAAAGTACTGATTTTTACTATGAAAAACCCAAAGGACGTGCTAGAGATTTTAGGCTATATTGTCTCTGCTTGGTTTGTTCAGAATGCTCTCTGGCATGTTAGTGTTTCACATTTGAAATACCTGTTGCCTGTATTGGACCCAGTTTTCCTAACCTGCATCAAAAAGAAGTCTGTCCATTCCCCTTCCCACATGTTCTGAGCTGTGGTGATCACAAGTATTGTTATTTTGAAAAGTAAATCTGAAAGCTGTGCATGGTGTGGTGGAAAGAACTTTGAGCTTGTCGCTGGGATACACAAGTTATTGGCACAGTTCTCCTTGCAGCTCACAGGGTCAGGCACGGTCCAACCCCGAGCCACTTGTTTAAGGTTCCCTGAGGGTTTGAGTGGGCTGGAGTGGCAGCCAGTCTTCTATGGGACTAGGCAATAGTATGAGATGTTCACACCACCAGCATCAGGAAAATGGCCTTCTTGGTGAAGCGGAGGGTGGGCAATCTCCCAATGTAGGAAAGAGTTGTGCTTTAAAGGTGTATTTCTATCTAAGTCAGTTTTCTAGAACACAAAAGGCCTCGTCCCATAGAAATATTACAAATGAAACAGAGGTTTCCAAGTCACCTGACAAGCTTGCCTGTTCGTGCCCTGTTACTACTAGTAGCTCTAAACTCCTTTGAGCATCTTGTCCTCTGGCGGAGGTGGTGAGGGGTGGTGTGTGCTAGCTGGACACTCCAGTAGCTGGATGTTTCCCATGAGAGCACGGGAGGGCCCTAGTGATTAGGAGGGAGGAAGCAAGGTACTACCAAGAGGGCCCCAGGTGTGGTGAGTCAGGTCAGAAATCTTGGTCTGCTGTAGGTTTCAGACAGAAGGGCAGTAGTAACTCAGAGAGACAGAAGGACACTCCCAGCAGAAGCTTTGAAAGAGAAGAACTGAGGCACTCCCTCACATCCACTCATTCCAGAGCCACCTCTCCCACATCTCCGAAGCTGAGCACATGGTACTTTCCCCGCTTCTCCTTCACACGTATCCTCCAGGCTCTCCTCCATCTTCGTTTTGACCAGATTTTACCTGTACAGAATATACAGAAGGATGCCCAAGCCAGTGAAAGGTGCCCCCCTAAGTGATCACCCTGGAAATAAATGCATTGCCCTGATAGGTACTATATAATGAACTTGCCTCTTACTTTATAAATGTGTTAATAAAAATACTTTATATTAAACTTAGAATGTGCATCCATCAGCTCAAGCATTGGACACTATATTAGGTCTTGTGTTTCCTTCATGGAACACCTCTCCTTTTAAAAATTTTTTTTTTGGTTATTTTGAACTTTCTTCTTCTAAGGATTTGGTAGCCAAGGTTTTCTCCTCCTCCCTTCTATTCTCTTTCTTTAAGTCAGGATTGTACCCAAGTAGAGAGAATATTTATATTCAGCCCAGCCGCTAAAAATAGGAAAAGTTGATGCCTGCGTCAAAAAATAGAAGCTTTTGTAATTGATGCCTCTCTCCTAGGTGAACGTGAACTGTACAGGATGGGGCTGGGGGTGCTTCTCTTGTCTCAAACAGTGACCTCAGTCACAGGAGGTGGCCCAGAACCCTCTGGCACCCATAGAGCAGTAGCTTGAACCCCAGCCCCACCAAATGTCATCATCCTAGGAGATTAGAATTTACTAATTATCCTAACAGGTATTAGTTTTTAGAGAGAGTAGTTTATATAGTGATGTGGTATTGGGGAAAGGGTCATTAAAAAGAAAACCTAATTTTATCCCTCAGTTTCACATGTTAATTTAAGATGATTAAATGAATCAAATCAGTCAATCAATAAACATTTATGAAGTGCCTCCTATGTGCCAGGCACTGTGCTTATATGTAGCTTGGGCTTCCCCGAAGTTCACTTACTTATTATCTCTTTTACAGCAAAGATTTGCGGGGAAGACGGCCAGGTGGATCCCAACTGTTTTATTATGGCACAGTCCATAGTATTTAATGCAATGGAACAAGAGTAAGTTGGCTTGGAGGTTTTCCACATTCGGTTTACTTGGGGGGTTTGGTTTCACATTATGTGTTGTTACTCATTGCAGTGCTTGACAATGCTGATGCAAAAGTCCTACAAGAAAAATAGTTGTAGGTGCGCGTAGCTTAAGAAGGACTCTTGGTTTTGATTCCTATAAAAGGGAAACATATAAATATTTATTGAATAGCATTTGAATGTTCATTTTTAAGTGACTATTTCCTTGATCGTTTTTTTCCTACCCGAGTTTAAAATACTGATTTTCAATTCTAAAAGCTCAAGTGATTATGTGACTAGAATAGTCACTGGCTTCTTCATTAAATGATAAAAGTCTAAGAATAGATTCTCCGGTTCTCTGTTATTGTTTGGCCTTTGAGTATTTAATCTCCTTCTTAGTGTCTACCATGTTGTTTAAAACAACAACAGAAAAACCTCACAGTTTCAGGGCAATTGTCTTCCACGTTGGAGTTTTTAGACTAACAAAGCCTGCATGTGCCATGATCAGTGATGGGGAGAGTGTAAGCTATTCCAACTGTACTTGGTTGTGGCTCCTTCAGATTTTTCCCATTTTGTCTGTGTGCAGGCACTTTAGTGAGTTTTTGCGAAGCCACCATTTTTGTAAATACCAGATTGAAGTGCTGACCAGTGGAACTGTTTACCTGGCTGACATTCTCTTCTGTGAATCAGCCCTGTTTTATTTCTCAGAGGTAAAAATCTACATTTCTTTCCACCCTATCATAGCATTTGTGCCCCTAAATCTATAAGTATTAAGGTATTTACTGTAGAGAAAAGAATGTGAAAGGTAGAATCTGTTAAATGAAAATATTTTCTCTTCCAGATATACATTCTATTTAATGGTGTCAATATGTGAATAGTTTAATGGTTAAATGAAAGAGAAAACAAAAGTTAAATGTAAAATAACTTAATTAAAATAGCCATTGTAGCGCTAGAATATTGGGGGTACTCGGAACCAAATTTTTAGCTTCCTCATTGAACCTGATTGTGTTGATATTCATTTAGAGGCAGAGCCCCAGCTCTGACTTAAGAGTTGGGTGACCCATGGGAATGGCTGAGTCTCTTTCCCCATCAGTAAAATGAGGAAACACGTTTGGTTATGGTTGTTTTAGAGATGTCTTGTAAACATGCTCAGTCATCACTAGGTCTCATGAAATAGTATTTTCAGACTAAACAACAGAGGAGGAGACTTGTTAGTAAATACTCTTTCCTGCTACCATTCTTTTAATTTTAGCTTATTGAGCAATTTCAGTGCCCTGTGAAGCATTTACTAGAAGCAATGAGTAAGTGAACCTTGTTGGGGCATTTTTACTGGGCAGCTCTCAGCTGGCTTTAGCGGAGGACACGTTTCACTCATCCAAGTCTAACAAGTATTGCAAGTCAAGATAGCTTATCTTCCACAGCAGCGGCTTTCGAAGACCAAACTTTGGTGGTCTTCAGCTGCGATGGTAACGTGCAGTGTCTGCGGCACTAGGCTAGCTGGCTGTTTTCTTTATTACTTCACCTGCTGCAAGTTTAAGCCTGGAGCATTTATTCAGACTGCTATGGCAATGTGTGATAATGAAAATGGTCGTGTTGTAAAAGGGTTCTTTCTGTTGTCGTCTTCTTTATGTGTCTGCTAGTAAAGAATTGGAATGTTAAATTTTGTCATTGTGATGAAAGTAGAACCAGCAGATTTAATCTTGCTTCTAGTGTGATGGATGTAGATCCTTTGTAAATGAGAATATGATACTTTTCAACCTGAGACTCTATCTGGCTATAACTGCACTGAATGTATCTTGCTTGTTGACTGCAAGATCGTGTAATATAATGAATGTCTGCAGGGGTGGGCTCGCAGTGCTAAGGCAGGCCTTTTCCCCCCTAACTTTCTTTATTATATTTTTCTTTTTCAGTATATGGAGAAGGAAGATGCAGTGAATATCTTACAGTTTTGGTTGGCCGCTGATAACTTCCAGTCCCAACTTGCTGCCAAAAAAGGCCAGTATGATGGTCAGGAAGCTCAGAACGATGCCATGATCTTATATGACAAGTGAGTTGGATTGTTTCACAGTTCTGCCTGCCCTTATGGATAGATGTGTTGAGAGAAGTGGACTTCTAGTGAAGTCTGTTTTTTCATTGGTGTCTATCCGATTGGAAGGTTTGTTGCCACAGAAAAAGTCCCGAGTCAGGAGTTGAAAGATTTTAGTAAGAGAGATGTTCAGGTCGTGCCCAGCTCCATGGGATACAGGGTGTTGTCGCCCTTATCAGCAGAATCACCCGGTTTTCCTTTATTACTTCTGGGACTTTTTCCCAGTTTTGTAATAAATTGTATGAATGTAGTGCCACCTTGTGACAGCGTTCCTTAGAGCACTAGTGTGTGGTTGAATGGGGCCCTCTGGAAATATCTGGGGATCTCACACAAAAATGCTGCGAAGAGCAGACGCTTGTTGTCACAGAATTGATAGGTTAAAGCATGGCTCACAGATGAATTGGAACAAATCCACTCGTTCTAGCAGCCTTCAGGCGGGCAGCGTCTCTGAATTATCTGCAGGAGCAAGAAGCAAGTTCTTGCCCCTTCATTCCCGCCTGACTAAACCACACAGTAGTTTTAGCAGCGCTGGAAGCTTTGGGCCCCTGCTGAGTCCAAGCTCTTTCCTTCCATGGCAAACACACAGTAAGATGCCCCATTTTCCCTTTGATGTCACTTTTTAAAAGATAGTCATTCAGTCATTGAACAAGTGTTTATGTGTGTTCTATGTTCCCAAGTACTACTAAACTCTGGAAATACAAAGAAAAGCAAAAACGTTTTCTCTGCTCTCAAGGAGCTCACCTTCTAATGGGGAGATAATGTGCAAAAAATGATGCATATCACATATGACCTATAGCAGAGCGCTTGCCTTCTCAATGAGTGGAGAGTGGAGAAAGGGAAGAAGAGAATTTGAAACTCAAAATTGTAAAAAATGAATGTTAAAATTTGGTTTTACATGTAATTGGAAAAAATTAACTTTTTAAAAATTATGCACATTAAGAGTTAGACGGTGTAAATGGAAAGTATCTCAGAAGGAGAGCACTAATTTCGAAGGGACCAAGAGAGGTCTCTTTTTGAAGGGGGGATTTGAGATGAGACTTGGAGGAAGCCAGGGAGACTGAGGCAAAACCTTCCAGGCACAGGTGGGGCTAGTCAGTGAAAGGCCAGAGAAGGTCCAAACGGAGGTCAGTGGAGGCCAGCCTCACTGGCTTCTAGAGTGCATGGAGGAGGAATCAAGTACAAGAAGACTAGAAAGGAGGCAGGAAGGGCTCAGGTTGTGAAAGACTTTAAAAGCCAAACAGAGGATTTTATATTTAATCCAGAAGGTTGAATTGAAGTGGAGAAAGTGCCTTGAGGCAGGCAGACCGACCCCCCGGTAGGCTATTGCAGTAGTCTAGGTGTGAGATAATTAGGATCTGTACCATGGTGGTAGCAGTGCCAGAGGAGAGAAGGGGATGTAGATGAGAGATACTGCAAAGGTAGAGAGCATAACACTTGGCAACACCTTGGATATTTGGGGTGAGTTTGAGTGAGGAATTGAGAATGAAACAGATTGTGAACCTAAGTGACTGGGAGATTGGTGTACCTTTGGTAATAATGGGAAAGTTGGGAAGAGGGCAGGGTTTCAGAGGATGAATTCTCTTTTGGATGTGTTGCATTTGGGGTGTTTGTGAGACCACTAGTTTGAGGTGTGTAAGAGGCAGTTGGTGATACAGAGAGCACAGGAACTCAGAAAGAAGGTTAGGACTGGATCTATACATCTGGGAACCATTTGTATAGATGTGATGGTAGAACCAAGGGAGCAAAAGAGATTCCCCAGCAAGATAGTCAAGAGAGAAGAGGGCCCCAAAATGGCGTCTTGGGGGTGGGCATGGCCTTGGTGAAGATGTACAGCAGAGAAGACTAGGTGGGAACATTTAGAGGAGAAGCAAGAGAGAGCAGTGTCACCAAAACCTAGAAAGCAGAGAGCATCTGGGCGAAGAGGGTTATTGACAGTGTCAGAGGCTGAAAGAGAGGTCAAGGAGAACTGGGACAAGGCAACCAAGAGATCACTGGTAGCTTTGGAGAGAGCAGTTTTGGTTGAATGATGAGGTTGGAAACCAGACTGCAAAGAGCTAAGAGGATGAGAAGAAAGCAAATGGAGGCACCTACTGTAGACAGCTTTCTCAAGGAGGATAGCCTCAAAAGATAGGAGACAAATAGAGATTGAAGTTTGTTGATCAAAGATGCATGTAGAGGGTTTGCCTTAACAAGGAGAATAGCCACCTCTTCCTGTCAGTGAGCACTTAATATATGCCAGCCACTTACTTATGCCAGCCACAGTGCTGAGTGCTGAAGATACATAAAAAATCCATATGAGACATGAATAAAGGAGGAGATAGTGAAAGAAGATATCTGAGTGAAGCCTTGTTTTTTTCAGTGAGGTTCTTAGTTGAGTGGATGGGAGAGGGGGTTACCACGTAAAGCTTGAGGAGGGATGAAAAAGTTTGCACTAGCTGCTGTGTTTAAGTAGGGAAGCATAATTTCCTTCCTGCAGGGAAGGCCCAGGTGAGATCATATGACGTATTTGTAGAAAACGGCACCATTTTGTGATTTTCTCGAGCTGTGTTCAGTAGCAGGTAAATAGGGGCAAAGGCAAAAGATAGTGGGAGTAAATGAATATTGGGGTCTGATCAGATATGATTAGGTTTATAAAATGGGGCAAGGGCTTCTAGTGTAGAATTGAACTGATTCACCAAGAGATCGAGATGTGGAAGGGAGGAGATGGGCTGGGAAAGAATTGAGGGGCATAAGGATTAAAGGTTACAGTGAGGATGAGGGACAAAGTGAGGCATCTTAAGGCAAAGGGAAAAAAGAATGATCAAAGCTTATGATCAGACACAGAAATTTAGAAGTTCATGACTAGCAGAGTCGAACATTTGTGGGTGATGGCAAGAACCAAGGGATATGAGGTCATCTCTTTGTGTTGCTGAGGTTCAGTGGAGGAGCAGGTCATGGAAACTGAGGTGACTGAGGAACTGGGAAGTTAATGTATTTGAAGGAACATCAGTATGTATGTTGGAGTTCCCTAGTAGGAGGGCAGAACTTGGCGTGGTGGAGAGAAAGCCTGCCAGCCAAGCACTGAACTCATTGAAGAAGGAAGGAGAATGTCCTGGGGTTGGCTAAATAACAAATAGCAAAATCTTGATTGGGTGATAGATTTGGATTGAATGAACCTCAAGTGAGAAAATGTTCCTGAGTGTGATGGTGGTAGAGGGGAAGTCTGGAAGGGACAATGGGAAGCTTAGAGTAGTATTCCAATTTGGGGTGTTGTGAAAGTGGTCAGTCCTGGAAGTTGAGGCCAAGGATGCAGTGTCAGCAGTAGGGAACTAGGTCATAGCAGAAGCCTGACAATTGAGGGAATGAGAAAGGAAAAAGTTTTAAGATGAAAGCAGAGTTTGCTAATTATGGAGAAGGCATGCTGGAGAACGTAACAGAAGGGGATGGCAAATCTGATGTGGGACATTGTTGGTAGTGGGTAGGTCTGACGGGAGTGATCAAGGAGTGGGCAGCAGCAAATCAAGTTTGGACCGTAGCAGCCAGGGGTTAAGAGTCAGTAGGATTTTAAAAAAAAAAAAAGAATCACTGGGATTGAGAGGGAATGAGGGTTCGAGAGCACAGCGACAGGGGGTGGATGAATGCTGACTATTGAGGAATGAGTCCAGGCAAAATGCCAGTACTTAGAGCAAGGTCTGTTGAGGGTGATAGATGATTCAGCGGTTCTAGGCCCTGATGTTGTGTCCTGTGAGAGTCTCTAGCAGGAGCCGGTGGTGGTCTGGTCCAGGGTATCCAGATAGGACACAAGTGGGTAGATGCAGAAGTCTGGTGCTTTCTAACACCCTGCTGAAACAAATCTCTGATTTTAACAAGGAATAGAGATGATTTCATCTATGTAGAGGCTGCAGGGTCGTAGGGCAGAGCATATAATGGTTTCCCTTCCTTTATTCTCTTCTCTAATACGTTCTGTATAAGTCTGTGGGATTAGTCTTCCCAGGACAATCACTTTGCTCCCCTGTGATGATTCCCTTGTGTCCATTGTATCACATCGAAACACTTCTTCCTGGCCTCCTTTATTCCGGTGTTTGAGAAGGAGGCGGCTCTTCTCCTTGGGAAAGCTAGCTCCCCTTCCCAGGACCTCTTCACTGTACCTTCTAGGACCTTCTCCTCCCTCCCCCTGATTAGTCATCATTTGCACTTACTCATCTTCTCCCCCATTGCTTGCTTTTCCTACCACTTACAAACATGCTGAGCTCTACTCTCTTCCTTAAAAAAACCGTCACTTGACGTTGACCTCCCGTTTAATGGTCCTGTTTCCCTTTTACTGACAAACTCCTGGAAGATGGTCGTCTGCACTGTTTGCCTTTACGTCCTCACTGCCCGCCACAGCCTGCTCTTTGTTCATACCTTCCCACTTGAGGACACTGTGCTCTTCAGAGTTGTGGGGGATCTCTTAGTTCATAAATCCAGCGATTTTTTTTTTCCTCACTTGACTTTCCTGAAGCTTTTGATAGCAATGACCTCTTCTTTAGCTTCTGTGATGCTACTCTTTCGATTCTCCTTGATGTATTCATGTATCCTGAGGACCTTAAGACACTGTTCTGGCTTCTGTTTTCCCTCACCATTTATTCTCTTGGGTCTCATTAGTTCAATGACCATTTCTATTCAGCTGCCTCCCAGATGTGTAGATCCACTGGTACTCTGTCTCGTGAACCAGTCAATCGACATACACCCAGCGTGGTGCCTAACTCTAGTTGCACGTTAGGTCTGTCCTGTATGTCTCATTGATATCTCAGCCCACCACATTCAAAGTGCAAGTAACCTGCCCCTTCTTACAACTCCTCTTTCTGTTAAAGGTACTACCGTATTCCCAGTCACCTAGGTTTTTAGTTTCAAGATGAATTTTTACTCTCCCTGGTTCCTTACTTCCCATCTCCAGTCAGTTGTGGGCTTGTTGATCCTACATCGATATCATCTCTTGCAAACATCCCTTCTCCAGCCACTGCTGCCCTGATTGGGTCATTGTCATCTCTCCTCTTTCTCCTTCAGCTTCCACAACAGTCTTTCCAGAGCACTGGTCTGATCTCATCACTTCCTTATTGAGAAACTTTCCATTGTTTCTCATTGTTTATTGGGTAAGAGATAAGCTGGAGAAATTTTAGTCTTTGTTTGTGGAAGAAGTGCCCACACCAGCTTAACTGGGTCCTTGAAACAGAGTTGCCATAGGGAATCGATTCCCAAATTAGTCATTTGGAATCTCCAGGAGACTCTGGAAGGATTCTTTGGAAAGGACTCAGGCGGGCTGAGCACAGTTTGCCCAAGTATTTGGCTGGAACATAGACCTGCCCGTTGGAAGGCCTTTGTGGCCAGCTATTCCTGGCTCATCCATTCCTTTTTTCTCCCCATAAGCTTGCGCAGGGAACAAAGCTGCAGCAAGGCCTTCAGCTGAGAAGTCCAAAGAATATGTCCTCCTTGCTACTTGGGGCCGTGTTTGTACAGGGAGGAAATTGAGTCTCAGAGCAGCTAAATGACTTTTCCTTGGTCATAAATGTCAGGGCTGGAATTTGTTTGTACAGGGAGGAAATTGAGTCTCAGAGCAGTTAAATGACTTTTCCTTGGTCATAAATGTCAGGGCTGGAATTTGTACCCAGTAGTTCTGACTCTAGGTTGAGAGCTCTGGATGAGTACTATGTGTCCTTCCAGAATTTCAGTTAAAGTTGTGCCAGGCATCCTCGGCACTGGGGTACCTGGACTTGTTAAAAGCTGAGGGACATCAAATAGCAGTGGGGACCTGGGAGCAAGGAGGGGGTGGTAACAAGTGGTGTGTCGTCATTACCGCTGTGCAGACGGGCGGCCTTGTTTGTCCCTTTCTGGCCTGCGAGCCAAAGTTGGCTGGTGTCTTATTTGGAATTGAGTGTATGTGGGCTTCTGTGACCCGTCTTTCTCTTTTCTTGCCACAGGTACTTCTCCCTTCAAGCTACACATCCTCTTGGATTTGATGACTTTGTCAGATTAGAAATTGAATCCAACATCTGCAGGGAAGGAGGGCCCCTCCCGAGCTGTTTCACTACGCCACTGCGTCAGGCCTGGACAACGATGGAGAAGGTGACCGAGGGTCTTGGAGTGGTCTCCAGCTTAAGTTCTGTCCCATTTCTGCTTGTTCATTAAAAAGGAATCCTTGTGCTTTGTTGTAGGTCTTTTTACCTGGCTTCCTGTCCAGCAATCTTTATTATAAATACTTGAACGACCTTATCCATTCAGTACGAGGCGATGAATTTGCAGGAGGAAATATTGCACTGACGATTGCTGGCTTTGGGGGCCCTCCTGACCATGAGTCTCATTCAAGTAGTTCTGATGGTTCTGCTCAGGTACAAACTGATCATCTTCTGGAGCTCGGAGTTTATGCATCAAAGGCTGCTGATGAGCTCTTCAGACTTTGTATCACTTTGGAGTTAGAGATGAACAGGAAATGCAGTGCATCCATCTTATAGTGTGCATATATTCAAGGGTATCAGCGCAGTAACACATTGGTTAACCCCAGAAGGGATGTTTCTTATTTCTTATGTTTAGCTTTTCTTTGTGACACCATTAAAATCATAAGGAATCTCACACTGGGTCAGAGCAGAGGTCAATCTAGTCCATTGTTCTGTGGCACTATAGCTATGTTTTGTGGAAGGCAGTGGTAGTTACCCTTCATGATATCATCCTTACTTTGCTTGAATAGCTAGTTATGAACTGGTCTGTGAATTCATCTCTTTTAATGCAGACAGCTCTGCTTGGGATAAACTAGAAATTTAAAACATTTTATTGTTTTCAAATTACATGTAAAAACAATTTTTAGCATTCATCTTTAAAAAATTTGAGCTCCAAATTCTCTCCCTCTTTTCCCACTCATTGAGAAGGCAAGCAGTTTTATATAGGTTACATATATGCAGTTGAACAACTATCTTATTTTAATTTTTAAAAGTTTTATTTTTTCCAATTACACGTAAAGACAATTTCCATCATTCATTTTTTGAAAGATTTCGAGTTCCAAATTTTTCTCCCTCCCCTCTCCACTCCTCAAGACGGCAAGCAGTCTGATATAGGTTATACATGTGTAATAATGTAAAACATATTTCCACATTAGTCATGTTAAATGACTATTGTTAAGATGCCTTCTTTATAGAATAAAGGAAAAGAAATGCTGTGGTGGCTTGAAACATTGTGTCTTTTTAATTTTTAATTTTGTTATGTGAGAAGCTGTTTTTATGGCTTTTATATGATTTTGACTTGTAATAATACCGTATATAGAGAGAATACTTTGTGGTTTTAGAACTGCTTCCACATGTGTTATTTATCTAGTCAGAAAACATTTATCAAGCATCTACTAAGTGCTTTCTTTGGGTTGGGGATATAGAGATGAATAAGAAGCATATCTTCTAGTAGGGGAGGTGAGACATGTGCCTAAATAATTTAATACAAGGCAGAATGTGACAAGAGGGCACTTTGTTCTTGGAGAGCAGAGGAGGAGGAGAAGAGATGGCCTTTGGGTGGGGACATCAGAGAAGACATGGCCATTGGGCTTGGCCTGGAGGAAGGGTAGGAGTTTGAATTAGGGAGGCAGTTCTTGGGGGAACTTGAATAAAGGCGAGAAGGTAGGACAGCACAGGGACTGCTCGGGAGCGGTGCATAGTCTATGTTGGCAGGAACGCTGGTCGCACATAGAGAATGGTTGTCTATCAGGCTAGAAAGGTGGGCCAGAGGCTAGGACCAAGGCTGGAGGCCTTTAATGCTAAGAGATGGAATCTGGATTTTGTTTGGTAAGTGATAAGAAAGCATGAGGTTTTTGAGCCCAGGGTGACGTGATTAGATTTGTGATGTAGAAAGATTCTATTGTAATAATGCTTGGTGAATTAAAGAGGGGAGAATCTGGAGTCAGCCAGACCAGCTGAAATGGCATTGGGAGAGTAATGACGGTCTGGATGCAGTTGGTGAGAAGATGGCTAGTGAGCTCATCTTTAGGGTTAAAGGGTTTGTCTGAGATTAGCCAGCCACAGGTAGCAGAACTGGGACTCCAGGCTCCTCCCCCTCTCGTGCCTTCCTACTTCGAAGCCAACTTTCCCCCCACTCTGCTGAGCTGACGAATGCCAGCCTTGGGATTTTATAGCCTGGGCACTTTTTTGTTTTCTGAGTATAAAAGAGTCCCAGAGAAAATGGTATTTTGAAAAATAGGAATGTCCCCAATGTCCCCAACTTTAACCTTTTGGACTGGGTTATTCTCAGTTCTTACTCATCACCTCGTCAGGCTGACTGCTCTTTTTAGTCAAGCTGTGCAGAGATAAAAGTGCTGTCAGCAGGGCTTATAAGGTAGTTTGGTGTGACCTGATGGATGCACGTTGGTCCTCCAAAGAGGCTGTCAGATATTGCAAATGGCTATGTTGCCTTGGGCTTTGAGGTTAAACAGTGAAAGTGAAAATATATAGTGCTTCCTGGGAGTGCTTTCCAGCTGTTATCTTGAAAGAATTACAGAGCCCAACCTAAATCCAATTTGGCTCTCATTATCTTCTGGCTGTAGGAGGTCACTGGAGCCAGTGTTTCCATTTCAGTCAGGAGACAGTTCAGTTTTATGCAGGACCAACCCTAGGATCAGTTTCCTCTTTTCCCTGATGGCTTCTTTTCCATCTCCTAAGTAAATGTTCCTTTGTTTCCAGGAATGTTTCTTGGGCATTTCATCTCTGTAGGCTGTTCCCAGCTTGAGAGGTACTAACCAGCTAGACGGTGTGCCTCGTGGAATCTCTTTGAAGCAGAAGCCTGCTTTTAAAAGTCACTGTGGTCTCTGGAAGAAATATAGATCTTCTAATCTTGGTCCATTGACTCAGAGGTTTAGTGCTTCGACGCTTAGTAGAGGTGGGATTCAAACCAGTCTGGTGTTAAGGGGCTCAGTGGGGTAAAGCTGGATGCCCTGGCTTGTTTCGAGCCTGGATGTTAATTGAGTTGAGGAGGTAGCAAATAGCATGAGTTCTGAAGCTGGTGCTCCCGCAGAAAACTGAAATTGCCTGAATGTGATGAGACTTCATTTCTTTTCTGAATCCTTCTACAGGCTTTTCATGTTAGAAAAATCATAGCTTTGTTTTTGGGGTCTTAGTGAACTGCTTTGCCGACATAATGGGTATTACGTGTCTGACTTTTTAAACAGATTTTCATTTCCTAGATTACTGGATAGTGTAAATGGTTTTTCGAGGAGTTATTGACAGTCGGTGTTGACCACTTAGCCATTGGGCATGGATCTTAATCTTACAAATTTGCATCAGCTTGTAGATTTTGGATATCCAATTTTTATTAGAATGTTCATAAACAAAAAATTGTCCTACTACTTTTCTTCTTGGCTTTTTATTTTGGCTTTATTGCTTTGTAGTATTTTGCAAGCATTAAGTTGCCTTGGGGATACATGGCAGATCATGTCTTGCATGGCTGGGTAACTTTGCCTCTGTGACTTCAGCTTAATAGCCCTGACAGTAGAGGCAGCAATGATTAGTACTGTAACCTATGTGATTCAGAAAACTCTAGGTGAATTTGTTTCCTGCATTTGGCACTAACATGTAGAATTTCTGTTGTAGTTCAGTGTGAAGAAGGCCAATGTTAAAATCCTGAAAAATTTTGATGAAGCAATAATTGTAGATGCTGCAAGTCTGGATCCCGAATCTTTATATCAGCGGACATACGCAGGGTAAAGTGAGCGAGTGGCAGATTTTTGCCACTGTCGTGGATTTACATCTACTTTATACAATCTATTCAATTTTCTTATATTGAGGAATCCCAAATGTACGTGAGGTGCTTAGCAGATTTTACTTACTAGTGAAATCTTGTGTTAGAGCAGTCTTTGATCATCATTGATCCAGATATATAAGATATACATATATTTTTAAAGGCAAAAAGCCAATATCAACCTTATAAGTTAGAGAACTAAAACTTGCCAATCTTCAGCTTATAAGTTGGAGAACTAAAAACTAAATCTTCTCTGCTTAGGAAATTGGTTGCATAAATTTTAGCCTTAAAGACTGGCTATCATTTGGACCTTAGAATCCCCCTGTAACATGGCCTCATATTAGACTTACTCATTTTTTTTCTTCTGTGAAATAACATTCACAGGTCTGTCATTTCCCACCCAAAATAACTAGGAGTCCAATGTAGCCTGCAGCCTCTAAGGGGGAGGTTGTCCTCCCTACTGTCTATTGCCACCATCCTATACAGCCTTGAAAAAGAGATTCCTTTGGGCTTAGTTTCAGTTATGTCAGATGAGTAGAATTATTTGGAAGAATGAAAATCCTTACAAATTACAGAGAATAGAACAGAACCTTTTACTGATTTGATTGATAGGAAGTTTCCATATCTAGCCCAGGCTGGAAGTGCAGAGACCACTTATGGGCCTAACGCCCACTAGCATGTAGATTTGACCTGCTCCATCTCTGACCTGGGCTGGTCCACTCCTCCCAAGGTGACCTCATAGCCCCCGGCTCCTGGGCCTCAGCTCATTAGTGTTAACACTCAGTCCCCTTAGCCCACTGCAGCTTCAATGATCCACTAGCTGTCTGTGAGAGAAAGGGTTACACGTGTGCACCGCCACAACCAGCCTTTCCTTGGTTTTAAATGGGCAGCAATTGGTCAATAAGAATTGATGGTGGATTGAGCCAGATGAAAGAACTTAGGAACTTTGAGTCTATCTGTTTTTTTTACAAACTCTCAGGTACTTTTTTAGTTCTTTATAATAGTCATTTAGTAAATAGTATCCCCAGGGTCCAAAAGAATTAATACTTCACCAGAGATGTGAGTTGGGTTTTTTAGGAATAAATCCACTCACCTATAGCTTCATTTCCACATGTTTTGTTGTATAAAATATAGGATTAGACAAAGAGGTTTCGATGTTCTTAGCTATAAAATAATAGGGTCAAAATATGGGGATTTCTAAAGTGCTTTGCAACTCTGTGATTCTAATGCCCTCCTGAAGGTCTGTGAAAAAGATCATTTCCATTGTTTGAAATTTGGATTGGTTGCACATTTTATTAAATGATAGTCCCAACTTGTCTTCTGTGTGTTCTGGTTAAACAATCCCACTTTAAATGAAGTAAGGCTGCTCTAAGTGGGCCACACAGTAGTTGCCATTTTTCTAGACAACTATGTAGAGATGAGTAATAATAAAATTTTCCTCATGAAGATTAGAGCTGACTCTTGCAGTTTGTCATTTCCTTATTCTCTTCCCTTCAGGAAGATGACCTTTGGGAGAGTCAGTGACCTAGGGCAGTTCATCCGGGAATCTGAGCCTGAGCCTGATGTAAAGAAATCCAGAGGTTTGTGGTATTCTTTACACTTAAGACTGAATATTCCTTTGTATTGGTACATTGACAGTCATTAAGGTACCTTCAGGTACAAAGACTAGAGTAGATTTTATGAAGTAAACTCTTTATTTTCTTATTCAACTTGTGCCTGGCATGTTCTTCACAAAACTGGCTATTAGGCCATTAAGTTATACACTTAAAAGCAATACAATCAGTCTCAACTTTTGTAGGGGTAATGTTCCTAGAAACAGCGCAAAAGTAAAAAAAAAAAAAAAAAATGCAAAATGTTGATATGTTGAACCTATGGGACAATAGGGGGTTAGGTTCCTTCACCCACCAAAAACTGTAACCTTTCACTAGAGATTTCTGAAATAATACACTTTTCTGCATACAATTCTTTACAATAAAACATTAATTCTGATAATAGGCACTTTGCCTAACAGTAACCATGAAATTACCCGTAAAATGCAGTTCACAAAATAAAATTGGTAACTTGTAAAACATTTTTTCTCACTAATAATTCCTTAGAATTCTGTGCCCTTATGTGCTAACATCTCTATTAAAAAAAAACAAAAACGTTGATTTCAGATAATATTCACCTTTTGTAACACATGGAATCTACAGTGCTATAAATACTTTCCTCCTTTTGTGGATATAACAAATTATCAATTTGTTAACACCAAGCTTATGGCCAATATGCACGGAGTTTATCTAACGCTTTTATTTTCTCACTAAGCTGTATCACTGATTTTGCATGCTTGGGCTTAGAGCCCAAAGGACTTGCTCTACGCTTTGGGGGCATAATTGAAACACAAAAGTTGAGTTTTCAAGGCAAACAATGGAAATATGCAGTGAACACATGGGGTAGGGGACGGGAATGGGACTTCTCTTTACAGTGGTAGGGTGAATAAGACTAGTGAAGCCCCTGGTAGGATACCAGGATACCATAAACTTGCATACAACACCTGTCATTTCTTTCTCTACTGTGCATGGTTACAAATGTGCACAGTTGCTAACGTAAAAGTAAAAATGAGGTCACCAATTAAAATCACGCAAATGCTTAAAGTCATGAAAATTAAATGCATGAATGTTAAGGATTGACTACGGTTTTAGGAAATCTAAACTGTTTAGTGCAGTCATCTTTGTAACTCCTGCCTGTGAACCAAATTTAATTGAAATCTCTTTAAAAAATACTTGAGATATAGTCGTATTTTGTTTAGCCGCCATTTTGTTTCAAGGTGGCACTCTTAATCAGAGGTTTCCAAAGTGGGTGATACTGCTCCCTTTGGGGCGCTGGAACAATCCAGTGGGGAGTGGTAGTAGCCTCAGATGCAGTTGGGAGTGTTAAATAAAAATAAGTCACAGTGATTACATCAGTTTCTGAATAAACACATAAAATGCAAGTTGTAACTGATCAGTAGTCAAATCCACTGACAGGTCACATGCATTGTCAGGAAGTCTAGCACGCATCGGCAGGAGTGTGTGTGTGTGTGTGTGTGTTTGTGTGTGTGTGTAATGACCTGTTTACGATATGATGGTATATGGTGACATGATGCAGTATTGTGTCATCAAAATTTCAATGCAGGAAAAACCCACAAATTTAAAATAAATTATTAAATTTAAGTTGTGTCATTTTTTTAAAAAGTATTTTATATGTTTTTTTAAATGATGCCAATGGAAAAAAAGGTTAGAAGGTTAAAGAAAGTAGATTTCCAGAGGAGTGCTGAGTAATTTTTTTTTAAAGGGGGTGCTATGTTTGGGACCCTCTACTCTAAATCAAAGTTGGACTTACGGGGTGTCTTGAGATGCCATAATGTACCACAATCACATAAAAAAGTTCAGTGATCAGTGAACAAATGGGAGCTGTCAGACGGTTAAGTGGAAACAGATCTCACTTTGTTCAGTCAATAAAAGCTAAGTTGGGCAAATATCACTCTGATTTTATTCAAGAATTGAATGTAGAGTGCTTTTTGCTTCCTACGCATCTTAGAAACTGACTTGAGTTTCACAGTATTTGGTTTCCACTGATAAATGAAGATTTCAGAAGCCAATGTGCAGTCGTTAAGAGGATAATTAGAAACTCTGAGTTTTAACTTGATTGACTGAATTGCTTTAGATAAAGAAACTAATTTACGTGAATTCAAAAATAAAGACAAGTAAGTTCATTTTTGCAAAGGCTAAAGATTTCGTGTAGCCTTTAACCTGTTTAAGATTAATAATCACTGAACAAAGTATTTATTAAGCGCCTGCTATACACCTGACACTGTACTAGGCCCTGGGGATACAAGTACACAAAATAGCTTAATTCCTACTTACAGTGAACTCATTCTAGTGGTGGAGATAGCAGGTGCATTTAACAGTGTATAGAACATAAATACAAAGTGCATCAACAGATACATATACATACAAAAATGTAGGTGTATGAAAGTTGGGTAATACAAGGTAGTTTAAGAGAAAGAGCATTAGCTAGGCTCTTGAGGTATACAGATACCAAGAATGAGGCAGTCCCTGTTGGTAAGATTACATTCTGTTGGGGGAGACAAGGCATCCTTGAGTATAGACAGAATCGATGCCGAATCATTGAGTGCAGTGTAGTTGGAGAGAGAGCCCTGGGAGTGGGGAGGATTTAGGAAAGTCTTGTGGAAGGTGGGGCTCCAGTTGAATCTGTGAGATGGAGTGACAGCCAAGACAAAGGCATGGTGGCAGGAGGTGCAGAGTCATCTGTGAAGAGCAGAGGAAAGGGCAGTGCCACCAGATCATAGAGCACCAGAACAGGCGTGATGCGGGGTGGGGCTGGAGTGCAGAGGGCTTCCCAACCTAGACAGAGTGGTGTGTGTTTGGTCCCAGAGGCAGTAGAGGGCCACTGCAGGTGATGGAGCAGCAGGGTCACGTGGTTAGATCGGCACATGAGGAAAATTCCTTTGGCAGCAGTGTGTGGGAGAGACCAGTGAAGCAGCTGTGTGAGGAGCGGAGAAAGAGGTCAAATATAAGGGAGGGGGAGTTAGGCCAGATTTGGCGGCCAGTGAATGTGTGGACTGAGGAGAATGAGGAGGAGAGGGTAGTGCTGAGGTGATGAGCCTGGGAGCCTGCGAGGATGGTTATGCCTTTGACAGAATTAAGGAATTTGGAAGAGGGACGAGTTCGGTTTTATACGTGATGTCGGGGACGTCCACTTTAAAATGTCCAGTAGGCTATTGGTGATGCAAAACGGAAGTTCAGGGAGCACTGACCTCTCTGTAACTGTAGATAACCCACATGCAGGTATATGTCATTGACATAGAGACGAGAGTTAAACCCATGGGAGCCGATAAGGTTACTTACTATCTTTGGTTTTGTATTTGTTCCAGCGAGGAGACCTCCAACTGGTACAGTTTTGTTTTGTTCTTAGATAGTGATTACAACTTTTCATTGAGGATGGCTCAGTGGGGAAGTTGGAGGAGGGATATAAGCAAAAAGGGATGTGGTGAGCAGGGGCTGCCTGTCACAAGCATTGAGGTGGTGGAGAGGTTGGATTTTCTGAAGGAGCTGGATGGTCATTTCGTCTCTAAGGAGTCAGTGGGGCTGGAGCTGGGTGCCTTGCTGCATAGAGTTCTATACTAGCTGGGTGGGGGAGATTCACAGATCTAGCTGAGCGCTTTTGGTACAGACTAAAGGAAGCCCACTCATTCAGGCAGCAGGTGCTTTTTCTGTTGCCTCATCATGACTTGGGATGGTGCTTTTTTATCTCTCTACTAATAAGAGAAGGTGCCCTGGGGCAGAGTGGACTTGGGCTTGCTGGGATCACTTTCTGGGGATTCTTTCTGTGCTTTTCATAAGACCCAGAAAGAGTATAGAGGGAAGAGAGCAGGGCCCCAAACCTAAAATATTTCTGCGTATCTGGAAAGACTTAGCCAGATACTAAATGAATTTTATGTTCTGTCATCTGGTTCTGCAAGACAAATACTGATTTTCCTGAAGAAAAAATATTTTATCAGTGGTTGTGTGCTGATTGTCTAGTCTTGTGAAGAAGTTAAAAAATAAAACCACCCTATTGTGTCTAACCTTGGATGTGGGGTTTATTGAAAGAGAGGTTCAGGCACTTCATGAATATGTGAAATCAGACCTGGAAAGCTATAATCAATTTTGGGTTTTTGTTGTTTGTTTTTGTTTTTTTTTTTTAAATAGGTTCCATGTTCTCACAAGCCATGAAGAAATGGGTGCAGGGAAACACTGATGAGGTAATTTTTTTTCCAAGTAAGAGTAAATACCTGGTTTTAAATCTCATTCCCTCTGAGTAAGGTGCCATTTCCTCTTTTACTTAGGCTCCCTTTAAGTGAGACCACCAGGTTTTCAGCAGTTTGGTGAAATCAAAGGGCTCCCATTGCCCAGGACTCTGTTAGGAAGAGTAGTACTTTTGTGGCCCCTAGTCTCCTTTCTAATTACAGTATTCAGTCTAACTGCGGATAATTTGGTGGCCAAAGGGTAGGTGTTTGTGCTCTGTCACCTACTACATATATCTATCTTGTTCTACAACTGTAAGAAATAGTCTTGCCTCCCTGGTAAATAAAAGCACCAAAACTGAGCTTATTGCCTTGGGGGGGTTGGGGAAAATGGCTTCTTTGACTCCCTAGGATCAGTCTCTTTGTGGTAACTCAAAATTTGCTTTTAATCCTCTAAGCAGATTCTGGAGAATGGGGACTCAGAAGGAGCATTTTTTTTGCCTTGATCAAGCACCACAAAATTGTTCCTTACGTTGAGTGCTGATTAGTTATTTCTCAGAAGAAAGGAGTGGCATTTTAACCTGCTAGGGCCAGAGTAACAGCCTAACTTCTCTCATAACTATGATTAATGGAAAGTGTACCGGCCAAGGTGCCAGAAAACTTGTCCTCAGTCACCAGTCACTGAACTCTGGACTTTGGGTTCCTCATGTAACCTGGGGGCTAGAAGCCTTGTACCGCTGCCTGTCTCATAGGATGCCTGGGAGAATCACATGAAAAAGCAAAAGGCCTCTAAGACTGCAGGTTGGATGGCAGCGGAGGCCCGCAGGTTACATGAAGGCCATCCACACAAAGTGGGCTTATGTTAGAGAACCCGCATGGGACTGGAGCATCGTCTTAAATGCCTCTGAGCCAGCTGCTGAATGCTTTGTTTTAGGCCCAAGAAGAGATGGCTTGGAAGATAGCAAAGATGATAGTCAATGATGTGATGCAGCAGGCACAGTATGACTCACCGTTAGAGAAGTCAACCAAGGTAAAGACTCACATTCTCTCCAGACTCGTGTAAAACTGGTCACGTTCACCTGGGTTAGTCCATTCATCAACCAGCATTTATTAAGTTCCTATTGTGTATCAGGAATTGTGGACACTAATACAAAAAATGAAACCGTCTCTATCCTAAGGTAGTGTCCATTGGGATAGGAGTGATATAGGTCAGCACTTCCCACTCCCACCACCACCTGTCAGTTGCCCTGTTTTGCTTTTCTGTTACACCTCCATCCATGCCCTTCTCTCCACCCACTTGACTCTCATCCTGGTTCAGGCCCTTATCCCTTTCTCTCCTGGACTACTATTCAGTGCTCTCCCTTCTCACCTCTGCCTCTCAAAGTCCCTAATAGAGACATAGTAGTTGCTTAATAAATTTTTTTAAAATTATGTTGAATGTGCTAGTGTGGGTGGGTGGACAGAAAGGGAATGGAGGAGAGAGAGGTGGACGCAGAATCTATAGGACTTAGCAACTGATTGGATATGATTGGGGGGTGAAGGAGAGCTGAGAATTGAGGATGATTCTGAGATTGTAAAACCTGGGCCGTAGGCAAAAATAGGGAATTTAGGAAGAGTTTGGGTTGAAGAATAATGAATTCCATTAAGTACCCCAGAATAAGAAAATATAATAGAAAAGTTAAAAGAATAAAAATTTTTAAATATTGCATGGTCATAGAAGGCACCCTAACCAGTAGGTTTTGGCTCTTTTTGCCAAACTAAGAGGCATTCCTTAGCAGCTGTGATGCCACTGATTTAGAAGACAGGTTCATTTGCACAACATCATGGAGGAAGAGAATGAAACCTGTGGATTCTGTCTCCTCACAGAGTAGCAGGGGACTCCATGTGAAGTCAAACTCAGCCAGACCATCCCAAGAAAATTTGTAGACGAAACTAGTAGGAAAACAAATAGATACGAAATGAAACATCTGCAGTTGATTCTTAGTGACCTGACCTCTGCAGTGATGCTAGTGGGATGGCCACCATTGTAGTCTTTCCCATCAGTGCCCCCGACACTGTGTTTAGCAAGTCGTCCTTGTACAAAGAATGCAAAGAGCACAGCTGTTCCTTCTGCCCCTCAGAGAAGGTGAGGCCTGCTTTGTGATGCCTGTACAGTCTTTTCAAGCGTTCATGCACATATCAAGGCAGAAGCACGAGATAGGCATTCTAGGATGACTTTGTGCGCCAGCCAGATCTTTTCATAACTGAAGGAGATGTGTAGTGGATATGAATACACACACATGCATATATGTTTGCTTTCACTTATTTATTTTTAGGCTATGTGACAAACACCGCTCTAAGTGCTGGACGTGCAGAGATAAAAAGAATAGCTCTTGCCCTCAAGGAGTGTGTAATCTAAAGGGAGAGGCAGCATGCTCACACGTCAGTATTTATGAGTTATGAGCAACCTAAATAAAGCAGTGGGGTGGGGGAGGGAGGAGGGATGACCAGAAATAAAATTTGTTTAGGGATCTGAGTCCAAATGAAAGAGTTACTTATTGATGGTGATATTCTTTAAATGTTTTTATGTAAGTTGTACCACACTCCAAAACATTCCAGAGCTTCAGTGAAAGAAAATCATAGTAATAGAATGGACATTGGACTGACTAGCCATACTACAAAAATTAAACGCATGAAAAATACATCCAGCCCAGTCAAAGACATGCATGCTGATGGATCGTCTGTCCTGTTAGGCCATTAATAGATATATATTATACTCCAGAGAGTGCCTTAGGACTATTTCATTTTTGTCTTTGTGATGCTCGGTGCTTATAGATAGTAGGTGCTTTAAAGTGCCAGTTGGGCTTACTGATTATGTGGTTGCAAATCAAGAAATACCATGACATCAGAAGACTCAAAATCATAAGTGGCCCAAAGGGCAGTGAAAAGATGCATAGTGGGCATAAGCTGCCACAGCCTATTCGCAGCAGCACCTTGTAAGGCAAAAGTAGCAACAGATGTCAAGGATCTCAGTTGTGCGGTGAGAATGATGGTAGCAGGTGGGTAGCTAGGGCCCTCCATTGGCTTCCTGCCCCCAGCTTCCCCCTGCCCGGGATATTAAAAGAACAGAGGAGGCTGCCAACGTGGTGGGCTCTTTGTTAAGCATATGTTGAAAGACACGGACAAAAATAGCACAGACCAGAAGGCATGAAAGGGGGGCAGAAGCAGCCCAGTGAATTCACAGATACATGGAAGGAAGTTAGCTAGAGTGGCTTAGGTAACAGTGGACATCAAGGCCACCCAGCTAACCACATGGTGCTCTTTCATTGCTCCTGTGCCGCTTCATGTGGCTGAACGGAATCTGCTTTCTGTTGAAATCTTTTTCTAAATCAAATCCTCTGAGAATATTTGGAGAAAGTTCAAACCCAGTGTCAACCTCAGACCTCCACCTAAGCAGAGTGTTTAAGGACAGACTCTCTTGAACGGAGGATAGGTAGGCTCTGCTTAGATGCTCAGAAAGGACATAGAGGTTCCCCTGGCTGATTGGCCTAAGGAGTAGCTGGAAAGACACAGAGAAAGGAATTCTCTGATGAGTTTGGGCATTTGGGATCTGGATTTGGCCTCAACCGCGTCTTCCTTCATCACTTCTTTAAGCATTGCGGTAATACCTGCTTCAATGTGGGCTTTTCTGCACTGAGCTGTTTCTGAGCATCTTTGAATGACACTGGGGGTGTATTTCCAGCAGAAGCACCCTCTGTTCCACGTGCAGAATGTGCTTCTCTACTAGGAAGGCAGCCTTGGTTGAGTTGGTTTTTATCTACACTGCCCTAGCTGTTTCTGCCACTGTGTGCAAGTGAGATAGAGTCATAAGATAAAAATAGAGGCCCACTTTTTGTGGTGACTGCCTTATATTATCTGACAATAATATATTTAATTGGGAGAAATGTAAAGGTCGTACAGAAAAGGTAGATTTGGAGATCCAACCTTTTAGAAGAAGATTTGCATGCAGTATGTCCAAATGGTCTTATATTTATATTTTAGGACATACCCATGTTTCTTGTTACCTTGCATCCCTCTCTTCAGAGCCCAGCATTGGTGGAAGGAGACCCAGCCGAGGGCCAGAAAACCTTGCTGCTTCTGGGTCTAGTCCTGCCAATCCTGGCTCTATGACCTTGGGCAAATTTCTCAACCTCAGTGGACAAGCAGTTTGAACGGTTTGATTCTGTGAAGTCCAGCCTGTTTTAATGAAACCTTGGCTGGCCACTGCAGAGCAGTGCTAGGCTCTTCTCTCATTCCCCTTCTTCTTTCTCTTCCTCTCAGCCAGAGTGCCATCTCATAGGCAGCAGAGGACGCCATAGCACCTAGCCACGTGATCAGTAAATAATGAATGAGCATCAGCTAGGTTAAGTTTGACTCAGTCTTTCTGTTTTTTTTCCAGCTATGATTTTAGACTTGAGATCAAGGAAATCTGCTTTTGAAGATAAGTGAACTTTTTTCCTTTGGTTGGATTCTTCTTTAACACAGCCAATGAAAATAAGCACTGTACTTTGATCACTGATATCGCCATCATTTCCTAAGGAAGAATTGGGAGCAACCCAAGGCCTCCCACACCAAATGCAGAGTCACATCCAGAAATCTGCCTGCCACTGCACTTGTAGCACACATAGGGAAGATTTTTAAAGAGACAGAGGGTGGTCTGTATGTTGTTGCCAGAAGAATGTGATTGATGGACTTCACAACAGTGAGAAGCCATTTTTGAGAGATTGTTAAACTCTCGTGAATAGTCTTGGGCACTCACCCTAGAAGGTGTGAGGGGAAGCTTAGCACTAGTTCTATTGCTAATGTTACTTATAGTAATAATCACACATTATGAAGACGGCAGAGCAAGTGTCTAAGAAGATTCTGCCCTATCCTTAAAATGTTCCTTGGGAAGGCATGCTTTCCTTACCAAAACTAGGTGAGTATTAACTACAAACTAAATGTATTTCCTTCCTTTGCAGAAGCATTAATTTTGAAGGAAAGTAACAGGCCATGAGTGAAGTGACTACAATCTCCTCACCTTTGGCAGAGATATTGAATTTTGCGTTTTAACTAGCTTCTGAGATGCAAAATATTTAAAAACCAGTGGTTCACTGGTGTGATTGTGTTGCTAACACAAGGCCGAAGGTGCAATTAAGAATGCCGTTGTGTGAGCGTCAAAGTCTCCCTGCTCTCCGGTTACTCTTTGTTGTCCGAAAAGCATTTAGAAGAAGCAGCGTATTTAAAAATACCAATTGGTTTATTGATTATAACATAATGATTCACTCCAGTTTTTCATCTTGTGCTGTCCTTGAACTGGGATATTTGGTCCCAGATAGGACTTTTTTTTTTTTTTTTAAAGAAGAAAAAAATTTTTAAATCACTCAGTTCTGTTTGGCAGTCCCCCCACCTCCTGCTTCTGCTGGTCGTTTGGAATTTTGCCACTTGTGACCTTTGCTCGTTTCGCTGTCATTAAGACAATAAGCATACCCTGCCGGCTTTTTGCTCAGTTCATGAAGCCATTCGACAGGGCAGCACAGCTTTGGGTATCACTCCATTATGTTTTTGCCCATATTTCCTTGTGAGATGTTTCTGTTTTGATGGGGTGGGAAGGGCTTTTTATTTTTTTCCTGTTACTGCTTTTTTGTCAAAGGACTTGGAAAAAAATCACTTTATAAAGATTATCAATCATCTCCGTTCTTGAGAGTCTGAATGAATATAGAATGTTATTCCATTGCAATATTTGGTTGTATAAAGGCACACTGTGTATTGTCAATAAGAAGAAACAGAAAGGCTGTGTATAGGTTTTTGGTACTATGTACCACCTCTATTACTCCTCTGACGCCCAAGTATTCATGTACCTAAACCATATTCTATTTAATTGTGTTTGATTTAAAATATATATAAATATCTATAAAATATGTTAAAAGACGTGTCTGTGTTCTGCTTGGGGGGGGGGGCTTTGATGACCTTTTCAGTTTACCTTTTGAAACTTCTGAATGTTTTCATTTGCCTTATTTAAAAAAAACACACAATAGAAGTAGGATGTATGTATGAATATGAGTCGTTATTGACCATGACCGTTGTGTGAATTCTTGGCCACTCTGATGGCACTCTTGGCCACTAGGTGCAAGTGATATGTTTAAGCTGGTTTGCTTTGGCAGATGTTGGCTTTTTTTATTTTTAGCCCATTTGAGATTTCTTTAGTCATCATCGAAAAACTATATAAAGAATATAGAATCAAATGTAGTTTGGGGTGACTCTCAGGCCCCTGCATATTTTGGAATGATTACTCCCATGAGAAGATTCTGGTTATTTCAACTTTTTAAAAGTTGAGTCCATTTTTCTTCGTGTCTGTCAGGAAATGTCCGTCCCGTCGAAGGCTGCCATGTCTCCATGTGGCATAGTTGCAAGAGTGCCAGAGTGGGAGTTTGGAAGTTAAGAGTTAGGATCCTGGCCCTGCCTTTAACTGGCAGCAGGACCTCAGACAAGCTCCTTCCCTGCAGACCCTCTGCCAGCCTGTCTGCAGAGGGAGCAGGTTAGGCCGGCCAGTTCTGGAAATGGCATAAAACTCAAATCTAGCGAATAAAGATCAGGTTATTGGAGAACATTTATTGTTGATAATTTGTGGGAGGAGCTTATTTAACTTTCATAATAGACACCCTCATGGTATTAAACTCATTTGGATCAACTACTAAACAGACCTATCTATATCAGTGGGACATTTGAATAGGTCGTTTTAAAGAAATACATTGTCTTATTTTCACATATGTATAGTAACTCACATCAGTGGTCAACAGTGGTTCACCTGGGGCCCGTGTCAGACTTGCTTTAAGAAATAAAGATAATTTATAATTAGCATGTTTGTATGTAAATCTTCCTACTTGAGTGAGTCACAGAATCCTAGACCAGTAGACCTTGGAGTGATGATTGGAGCACTTCCTTCATTTATAGTGGAAGAAAGGGGCATCAGCTTGCCCAAGACTATACAACCAAGATTAAAAACACTTGCTCCCTGACTCAATCCAGAACTTTTCCCTGTTTTGCCTTTGAAAAAAGTTTATTCTCTCTCTTTCCCTTTTTTTTTTTTTTTTGGTAGGCAATAGGGTTAAGTGACTTGCCCAGGGTCACACATCTAGTAAATGTCAAGTATTTGAAGCCACATTTGAATTCAGGTCCTCCTGACTCCAGGGCTGGTGCTCTATCCACAGCGCCACCTAGCTACCCCAACAGTTTGTTCTCTTAAGCAAACATTCTCCAAGGGAAGGTTCTTTTCATTCACGCTGTTATTTTTTTTTAAATTTGTTTTAATCAGCCAAGAGTCACCTCATCCTCCCACCCCCAGTTAAGAACATGAGAAGGAAAAAAAAAAAAACAGCCCATTGCAAACATGTACGATCAAAGCAGTTTTCTACATTGGCCATGTCCTAAAAAATAACTGTCATTCTGCATTCTGGGTCCTTCATCTCTCCGTCAGGAGGCAGTAGAATTTTGCATCGTTACTGCCCTGGAATCTTTGTTGGTCATTTTGCTGATAAGGGTTCAGCACAATGGTATTCCATCACATTTCTATACCAGCACTTATCCCTCCATTCCCTCAGATTCTCATCCTCTGCCACCTCAAAACAACTCAATATTTTTGTACATCCTAATAGTTTGTTTTGCTCAGTACCCATTCCTCTCTTAATCTACCTTCCCTTTAATTCTCTTTTCCCTCCTATCTTCCTTAGAGTGAAGTGGATTTTTTTTACCCAACCGTGTGTCTTGTCTTTGACCAGTTTGGATGAGAGTAAGATTCAAGTGTTAGCTGCTCCCCCCTCTCCCTTTTTGTTGTTAGTATAACTGTTTACTTTTACACCCTGATTATGTAAGATAATTTTCCCTTTCCACCTAGTATATTCCTCTTCCCCTTTCCATTCTTAAGATCATCAAGACATAACAGACCCACTCCCAGACCTTGTCTAGTTGGACTCCCTCTGTGAACCCTGATGATGATGGATTCAGAGAAGAAACACGTGTCATCTCACTGTATTGGAAAGAAAGCAATTTATCCTGTTTGGTCCTTTATCATTGTTCATTAATGTTTATTGTTTTGTGCTTCTTTTCACATCTGTGTTTGAATTTCTAAGTTTCTAAACAGCTCAGGTCTTTTCATCAAGAATGCTTAGAAATCCTCCGTTCATTAAAGGTCCATTTATTCCCCTATGGTATTGCACTCAGTTTTGCTTATTCTTGGCTATAAGTCCATATTCGTTGCCTTCTGGAATATCATATTCCAAGTTCCCTCCTCCTTTAATAATGATGGCTGCTGAATCATGGAGGATCCAGACTGTGGCTTTTCAGGTCTTGAATTCTTTCTTTTTGGCTGCTTGCAGTATTTTTAATTTGACCTAGAAGCTCTGTTTTGTGGCTACGATGTTCCTAGGAGTTTTCGTTTTGGAATTGCTTTCAGGAGGGAATGGTGGATTCTTTCTATTTCCACTTTGTCCTCTTCTTCTAAGATCTTGGCAGTTTTCTTTTAGGATATCTTGAATTAGGATGTCTAGGCTCTTTTTTTGGTCATGGCTTTGAGGCAGTCCAGTGATTCTTAAATTCTCTCTCCTCAATCTCTTTTCCAGGTCACTTGTTTTTGCTAAGAGAGACTTTACATTTTCTTCTGGTTTTTTTTCCCCCATCTTTTGACTTAATTTTAGTATTTCTTGTTGCCTCGTGAAGTCTTTGACTTCCATTCGGTCCATTCGAATTTTCAAGGAGTTTGTTGGTTGGGCAAAGTTTTGAATATCCCATGATGAGCTGTTAATACCCTTTCCAGTTCTTTCTTCCAAAGTTCTCATTTCTTTTCCAATTTATTCCTCAAGCTCTCTCATTCCATTTATAAAAAGATTTTTTAATTCTTCATTTCTTCCAGGAATTCTAATTGAGTTTTGGCCCAAGCTGTGTTTTTCTCTGAGGCTTTGCTTGTAGATGTTTTGGAGTCATTCTCTTCTTTTGCATTTATGTCTCGAGTGTCGCTACCCCCATGATAGCTCATTATAGCGTGGGCTTTTTTTTTGTTTGCCCATTCTTCCATCGTATTTCCTGACTTCAGATTCAATGTTAGGGTCAGGCTCTGCAGCACGTCTGGGCTGGCCCTGTTGCTGCTTTCTTGGGGTGTTGGAAGTGTTGCGTTATTCCAGGGTCTCAGGGATGGACTGGGGAATTGTAAGCTTTCAGTGCTCCCTAAGGGGTCTGATCCAGGACAAAGTCTGATTGTTGCCCCCTGGTCTGAGCTCTGCAGGTTCTTGACCAGGGTTTGGGTCCATACAAGTGTAGAGTTCTGCTAGACCACGCTCTGTTGGGTTCAAAGTGGCAGAATCATCAGCTCGCCCTTGGTCTGGGTTTCCTGCTTTGGTTATTCCTCTCCAGGCTGGGCTAGATGCTTTAAGTGAGACCCTGCTCTGAGCTTGGGTCCGAGCCACCTTGCCGCTGCTGCTGCTGCTGGCTTCTGATCTCCCTTTCTCAGGACATCACCCAGGGCTCCTGTGTGCAGGTCACCTTCTTACCCTACTGTGTGCAGGTCACCTTCTTACCCTACCCTGCAAGTTGGCACCTATCCCCGTGGCAGTGCCCTGGTGTGGATCTAGGGGTGCTCCAATGTGAGTGTGGGACCTCTTGTACTGGTGCAGCATCTCCTTGGGTACTGAAGCACCCCGTGCTCCCTCCTCCCGCCAGCCCCAGGGTCTGCTGACTTAGGCTAGACAAAAGATGCACTGTGTTGTCTTCTCCATCAGAATTCAGTCTGATGCATTTTAGAGATGTTTGGAGGCATTGTGGATAGGAGCTCAGCTGCACTGCTTCCTTCTCCGCCTCCGTCTTGTGTGCACACACACACACACACGCACAGACACACACACACACGCACACACCCCAGAGCTTCTAAATGGCCTTGATGAATTTCCACACTGTGAGGTTATGAAGGAAGCACCCCTCCCTCACGCCTCCCCTTAGGATAGTGGAAAGGTTAACTTGATAGTTCCTGTCAGAATTCCCACACGACTTAAACTGATGCTATAGGACCCACTTAAACATGTGATGGCAGAGTACAGATAAAGTAAAAGAGGTAGTTATTTCTTCCAGTCATATAAAAATGGTTATTTCCATTTATGCCATGGCTCTACCCTCACCCCAAACCATCTTCATTGCAACCTTCAGGAAAAATTCCAGAACTAATTCAGATGAGGGTCTCATGTCCAAAGCGCAAGCATGCAGCTACTGACTAATGTAGAAACACTGATAAAGTAATAGAACAGTCCCAGGGTGAGGGGAGGGGGGAGTTTGTGGGAAATGTTATTTCCTAGATATAGTTCTATACGTTTAGAACTGCAAAAGAAATCAAGCCAACTAAAAGGTACTCATATACCCACTCTTAGGGAAAACCTCTAATTTTTTGTTTTTCATCTGGTTTGCAAAATGAAGTGGGAGGTGACTCTTTGTTTTATAGAAACTTTCTTGTTTTCAGGATCATGTTTGGGATAGAGTGCTGGACTTAGAGTCAGAGGACACTAGCTGTGTGACCACCTGGGAGTAAAAGACCTTCACTTTTCTGTGCTTTGACTTTCTCATCTGTAAAACTGTGATAATACCACATCTCCCCGGGTGTTAGGACTCAACTGAGAAATTGTGTGCAAAGGGCTTGGCAAATCTTAGAGTTCTTTGTGGGTCAGTTACTGTTACTTAAGTCTCCTGCTCCTTTAGTGGGACGGTTTATACAATCTAGGGTAGACTCAAGTTTTCGAGGACTTGTCTTTCACATAAAGCAAGATGCACCTGCATGCCTTTGTGTCTATGACGTTTAGACTTTTAGAGTATGTGAGAAGTAGCAGAATTGGTCATTAGAACTGAATCCACCCAAGGTTCAGTTGTAAAATATTCTACATTTGGTTAGACATT